CCCCCCCCCCCTGGACACATTTTCAAAGCTTGATTACTCTGCGGCAAAAGCCGTGACGGTGCTGGAAATGGTAGCGCGAGAACGATGACGTCGAAACAGCTTCTCGCAAACGAACCGGCGTGGAATTCGATTGCGGCATCTTACGCACCCTACGGTAGGAGCCTCTCTCGCGATAAAGCAGCCCTCACGCGGTGCTACGAGAAGAACAAACACAAAAGACATGACATATCTGGTTTGGCACAGCACACCCAAGTATGATGGCCAGTTTCGGGTCCATTCTTGTGAAACGTAGCCTGGACCGGCGAAACCCCTCAGGCCCGCTTTGCGACGTGAATTGTGTCAAACGACTACGGCATGCGCACACTCGAGCACGACCCCTTACCCAAAAGAGCCGTGTGTCGCACGGTAGAGGGCGCCGCGCACGGGACTCGCGTCTCGGTCGGCGGAGTACCACCAGGAAGCCACCGAGCCGGTGACCGTCGCCGTCACCACGTTCCGGATAACGTCCGCGCCCCACGCGAGGCTGGCCAGCCAGAACAAGGCGAGCCAGAAGCTGTGGCCCTCGTACTCGCAGGCCGAGTTGTACGAGACCACGTGCCCGCCACACATGCACGAGAGGTGGTGGACCATGCCGCGCGTGGGCGGGTCGAGCGTGACGTCGCTGCAGAAGGACGCTTTGTACGTCGTGCCGTCGGGACCGGTCACGGTCCGGAGAGAAGCGATCGTGCCCCCTGCCGCCATCGCGGAGAGGAGGACCCACAGCACCTGGACTCCGCTCATCAGCAGGCCGGCTCGGACAGTCCATGGCATGGACTTGACGGCTAGGCCTGCGACCTGGTTGTGGTTGGCGGGAGGGAGGGGTGGAGAGGGGGGGGGNTGCCGCACGGACTCGGAGAGCATGTCGCGCACCCTCGGACCAGCGGAGGGCAGAGACCGGAAGTACACACCCAAAATCTACGCACGTCACCATGGCGGATTGCAGATGATCAACGTACACACATGGGGGGGGGAGGGGGAGGGAGGGAGGGAGGGAGGGAGGGAGGGTTTCGTCGTGTAGGGTGGCGTGCACAGTGAAGAGGGACTGATACACACCACTCCGCTGGATCAGCTAGCCGAACAAGTCGAAATGAAAATAGTTCGGTTGCTATGCTACATGGTCGGAGGATAAACGCGTATGGATTTGATTGGTTGATTGGAACACCTCCACAAGTCAAAAAGCGGACACATAAGAGCCTAGCTTGCCGTCAAGGCCCTCCTGAGGGTGGCCGACCTGTGCAGGGCATTCGATCATGTCTCGATCCGGCGAACAAGTCAAAGGCGAGCCGACCTTGCCCTGTCACCCGAGATAGGTCTACCGTTGGACTTGCTCTGGCACCTAGGGATGAGAGGTAGAGATGTCAGTACGTATGCTTACCTTGAGGTTGGCGGAGCCGAAGCGGATCCGGCTCTGGCGCTTCAAGTAGAACCGTACCGTCCAGCCGCACAGGAAGGCGGGGAAGAGGCACCCGAACAAGTGACCGGTGGCGAGAGTAGAGACGGCGGCCATGCCCGAGATCCCGGCAAGGCTTAAGTAGGCTATCTGGAAGACTCGATCAACGGACAGAGGCAGCGTTAGGGTTGGGATTCTGTCAACACACCAATACTTACTTGGTTTGAAGGAAATGTTTTTTTCCGGGCCCATTTTGTAATAGTTTGTTCTAAGTCTAGAAAAGTGTACCCGTTTTGGGGGATAGTGACCCGGGAAGGTGTCTGCGTCGGACCAGTACGGATACTACAAAGTCAGAGTAGACTGGAACACTTTTTAATGCGAAGACAACAACAACAACAACAACAGCAACAACAACAACAACAACAACAACTGCTGCTGTTCAGGAAGGAACGAAAAACCGGCAGGACGGGGGGGGAAGGCCCGTATCAACATTATCTTGGGGGACCATGTCAAAAACTTTACGTTCGCACCATCAGGAAAGGAACTCCACCACATCACCGCCACCACCTCCGACAACTTCGATGCTCTCCACGAACTCCGTCCCCATCGACAAAAAAATTAGCCAACGCCGGAGCTCGCGTCTAAACAATGCGTCCACACAATCAATGGAAGTATCGAAATTGCGTCCAAGTTCTCTGTGTTTGACCTGATCTCCCAAGTCTCGAGGTAGGGGTCGTAGCATCGATAGAACATCAAGGTCTTAGAAAGGTAAAGGGAGCTGGGGTAACTTGACCCTTTTTCTCCATAACCTGTATGCTGGCGATGAAGCTATTTTCGTCCGCTTTTCAATCAGAGTAGAGAGAATCGCGCCATGGGAATAGACACGTCGGCGGCTTATGCCTGCACTACAACAGCCGACTTGCTGCAAGAGTCAATTTCCCCTGCTGTGCAAAGTCTGCCAAACCGCACCCGTCTTGCGTCAAAGCGCTGGTGCTGCCCGCGCGTTTTCGTTGTGCAAACACACAGATGACTCCCCCTCACGGGGTTCCAGTTGGCCTTGAGAAACGTTTTCCGATATTGGCCGCGCTGAGCCAAGATGCTTCACCATTGGCAAGCCGGCCAGAGCGGTCGGCGCTAGGAATAAAGACAGGCACACGCATCCTATTTTAGTATACCTTTGTTGGGTAAGCTAGCCTGTGACCACAGGAAACGACCGCGTCAAGTGTTAGACTGGTACGAACAGAAGGAGGCACTGGGAAGAGTGATCGGAACGGTTGGTAATGCCAAGACAACAACAACAACAACAACAACAACAACAACAACAATAACAACAACAGCAACAGCAACAGCAACACCACACATACACCCACCTTCAGGATTCTCTCTGAGTAGTTGATGACGGCATAGAGCACCCCCCACGCGAACGTCCAGGCAAGGCCGACAATCCCCAAGACAACCAACGCCGGACCGACAACGCCACCCCCACCGCCGGTCGACAAACGTCGGCCTGATTCGTCTCCCCAGACAAACTCGTCTAGCCCCGCGCTGCCGAAGAAAAAGGCCTAGGTAGTTCAGAAGAGGTGGGGACGAGGGACGAGGGCATGTGTTTTGCTCGCGGAATATGGGAAAAACGGATTGGCATTTAAGGAATTTTGTAGTGATAAGAGGAATCAATAGTGTTTCATGGAAGGAATGTTTTCAAGAAAAAGATTAGCGTTGGATCATGATGTGCGTGCTACGCGAGCGGGGGTGTCGTGGTCTACGATGATGGGGGATATCTCGATATCAAGCTTATGAAGCCGGGGGGGGGGGGGGGG